TCGGGGGGGGGGGGGGGCGCTGAAAGTTTAAACACGACAGGAGATTAAAAGCAGTCAAAGCATCGTAGCATGTAGCGATGGAGTAGAACACTGGGTGGGTGCACCTATGGCACACAGAGTGTTTACCTCAGTAAAGAGAGTAATATTAATACCCTGCCTTGCTCTTAAAGGCCGTTAAAGTCTAGGTCACATTGACGATCGCAGAGCACACATGCTTTACAGAGCAGGTTTGCATAATGCAGAAAACACTAACTTGCGTGCTCAGGCCTTGGTTAGCATCTTGAGAAATCATAGCATATAACGCCAGCATCATGCCACTGAATAAATGCATCAAAAGCAGGTTGCGAGAGCAAGTCAGCGTCACATATTACGGCACGCCAAAAAAAAACAAGCCATCGGATTGTGTGTGTATCTGATACAAGGTCTTACCTGCCAGCCAGTTCAGAAAACAACTGGTGGCACAATTCTAGGTTCACCATGTAAAGATGTCTGATGTACAGGGAGCATTTTGTAATTATGGCAGATATCAGAAGGAAAATAGGTGCTTGTAGATTATCTGCAAAGGTCAACATAAGCTATCAGACCACAAGTTGGAGTCCCAGTAGGACACAGACAGCTCACTGACCGGCCGATCACTCTTCTTCATACTAGAACATGCTGTGCTTCCATATGTAAATAATTGCCTGCCACAGAAAGGGACATGGATTGCGTTTCAAAACAATCAATACATTGGGCAGTACTTCTACAGCACTAGTTAATACTACAGTATTTATTTTTAAATAAAAAATAAAATAACAGTGGAGGCAACTGCATATCCTGAAGTGACACGGTGATTTCCATTAACTAAGGATGCAATCTGTGGACATCTAGGGGGGTGGGAATCTGGGAAAGATCCCGATCGACTGCCTTCAATACCCGAACAGTCCCAAAAATGATCTGAATTTCAGATGCACGGAGCGCCGATGCCGAAATGATTTACTCAAAGTGAGATTAAGAAACAAGACATAGGCCCGATTTATTAAATCGATTGACAATTACTGCTTATCCGAAATCACACTTGTGTTGTCACAGAAACTAGTACCCTGCCGATAAGGCACTTTGCCGGAGACATGAAACCAGGAGTGTGCAGGATATTTGAAGGGCACAGCGTTTCCCTTCCGCCTAAGAAACGTGGTTTATTTTGACAACATGGCTGCCTCCACGCTCGTCCATCCTGACCTTTAAAACGGCTGGAGCCGCAAGGATCGTTTACCGACCACTACAAAAAAAATAACAGAAATCCCACACAAAAATAAAAAAAGAAGGGAGATCGAAATATTTACGCGTGAATATTATCAATTAGGGGACAAAAATCCGCCTTAAGGCTGTTGACAATACACACAAAAGCATATGAAGCATTTTGCCGATATTAAGGCAGCTGAACCAAAATCATCCTTAAGAAGCAAAGCGAAGATCTTGCTTAACCGTGTACAATACGGCTTAAATAAGCACACATTTTTCGTTTTGTTTTTTGCCAGATTGCACAGAAATGTTCGTGAAGCTGTCACTAATGGTTTTCTAGGTAAAAGGTCGCTGGTACTGATCAGCAGGTTAGTCTTCGGGCAAAAAAACATTACGCCTCTTTCTCTTGAGGCCACCCAGAATTACAGATTAGCCGAGGTGGAGAGGGCAGCAGGTAAAGTGACATGAGGGCTGATGCGCAAATCTTCATTGTGCATCTGTGCAAACACGGCCATAGGAGAACAAGGAAAGGGAGCGAAGGGGACGGAGACAATACGCTGCCTGCTGGGCGCCTGGCGCACTATTACCACGTGTTGACATATACATCGGATGCAGCCGGGGGCGCTGACCGATAAACGCCGCCGATCGCCCGGTGCACCAGCAGCAGCGCTTCATACAAACCCGTACTCACCCAAAACGTCGGCGGATCTGTGCCGGGCTATAAAGCAGGCGTCGTCCCCGTAGCACATGCCTTTCTTCAAGATCCCCTTGCGAAAGTCCTTCCCGAAGCCGCAGCTCGCCGTCACTAGGCTATAATCCCGGCTATCGGTTTGGGAAAGTCCGCCCAGGACAGCCCTGGCAACCAGTCTGCCATAGGAAAGTACGGAGATCATCCCCCAAAAGCAGGCACCCACCCCACCTACCAGCCCCAGCGCTCGCCCTACCCCCGCGTCCTGCCTCGGTCTGCTTCTCAGCCGAAGCGCATTCGCCTCCCCAAAGATTAACACGCAGTTTATAGCGCCAAGGTCGTCGCCGCAGCGGGGAAACACGTTAGAGGCTCTTTTCCTGCTTCGGAGTGCAGGTTGTTCCCGATGCCGGCCACGCTTTCAGGTCTTCACGAACCGGCCCCTGGCGTGTGCGCCATCGCTCCCAGCCGATCGCTCTCTCACGCAGGACCTCGCAAACAGCCGGGTTTCTCGGCGATGTAGTGGAATACTATGGCCCCCGCGTCTGAGGTCTTGTGACTCCTCCCTTGACGTCATTAGCTGTTATATACACGCAATCGGTGGTTTCCTTAAAAGGCCAGTCACCGTGGCTGCACCAGGGTTCGTGCAAGTGCACGCTTTATGTAATAAAGAACACAAATTCTGTCTCTTGCCAGAAATGCAGTCGGGTGCATCCTGAGACAGCACTTATTTCTGCAAAGATGTACATTGCGCTAATGCCAGCTGCACGCAGTGCGCAGGAACGGCCCGAATGCGCAGCAGACTGCGTGTTTAGACGTATGCGGTCACGGGGAGTTTAGAAAGTCAACACGAAATGTCTTGAAAATGTTTTAAAGGGAACCGAAAAGTGTGAAAGTAACTGAAATAGAAAAGTAACACATTTCAATCCTGCGATTATAATCTATTTTAAATTATCTTCACTGACCATCCATTTTTTTAAAAATTCAAGGGTATCTTGAATTTTTCAGGAACTTTCCGAGAAACATACCCACGCACACACTTGATTTAACCAAGTTGCATATTTATTATTTTTATTAAAGTAACATTAAAGTGTAGCTTCCTTTTTAATGCTGTATTCCAGTAAGAGCTATTGGTTATTCTACTGCTGACTGAACAAAAAACGTCAGTGTTCCACATTTTACAACTGATTGACATCTCGGCGACCTCCGAAAGCTCTGGAGGACACACCATGTGTCCCAGGTGTCCTGTCGTCTCTCCGGAGTTGGCGAACCAGGAAACTGACGCCATTTCGGCTCTCGCACTGCAATAGCATAACAACAAACAGGCCTGCTTTTGAGCCATGATGGCCAATGAAGGTGTCTGTTTCCTTCCGTAACAGTATGTACTTAAATTATTATTCAATAAAATATAAATATACAATAATAATAAATATACAATATGCGCCATATATCTGTAATTCCACTAGCATACGCTCCTGTAAATTGGAAGATAATTAAATTAAATTGATTCACCGTAATCCCAGAATGCCCTTGGCAGGAAACCGCCAGCTTGATTCCTGGATACAAAGCGTTGGTACACTGTTGCTAGGCGAAATGCGAAATGGACAGCTGTGTATCTTAATATTTAGCATTTTTAAAAATGCAGCCTTTGTTGCAGATGCAGATAAAGGTTATTTAAATTTTTCCACAAACGCGACTGAAGCGTTGACAGATATAAATGGAATTTTCAATAGCACTGAAACAGGGGATAATGCGACGACTCTTTTGCCGGGGCGGTCTGAAACTTCACCTACAGTTGTTGAATCTAGTGATAGCACGGTTTCTAATGAAGCCACCGGGGTGACGGAGACCGTCCCCAGAAGTCTCAGTCCTGCAGATGATTCAAGTAAGACGCCGGTCAGCACTGGCACCCCTCCGACGGCAGTGCCCACAGCGCCGCCTTGGCGACCCCTGCCCGTCTCTGGATTGCTTCCTCCTGCTGTTACGGACGGTAAGATTTCAAGTGCCTGTGCGTGGGACGCCCGTGACTGACATAAAATAATAAAATAATGACCGGTAACCCCATTTTCAGTCTCCAGTGTGTGCCCGTGCAACGTCCTGCAGGACCGATGTGACATAAACTGCTGCTGTGACCCGGACTGCGGCGCGGAAACAGCGCTCTTCACCTCGTGCTCGGTGCAGCTTATCATGCAAGTGGCCCAATTTCATACGCGACCTTATTGATGCAGATATCTCCCACTTCAAACTAGACAATCCTCTGCTACACTCAAACAGTTCAAATTGGCCCTGAGCTACAATTTTGAATGAAAAACGTGCTTAAAACAACACTGTTAAAATCAGTATTACTTGCTGCCAAGAGCGTATTTGTTGATTCTGGGGCCCAGCTTAAAAAATCACTTCTGCTTCTGTTAAGTAACCGTAGGGACTGTTTGTGGCCATCAGGAAGCCATCCTCAGGGGCCTATGCAAATTTCTGGGTTGAATGGCCTTTAATACAGCCGTTAGCTATTGCTTTCCAGTTGCCAACTAATTGAAATCTATCAGAACACCTATGTTAAGTCCTATACTTTAATCTGACTTTGGCGCATCAATTTGATGACGCCTTTCAGTTCACAGTGCGGTATCACTCCATCACAAAAACCCTAGTTTTCTCTGGCTTTAGCGCATGCTTAGTGACATTATCAACCACAATGACTATATAATCACAAAGATCTGTGCATTAAGCGTCACATTCAGTCATATAGCCACTAGGTTGCTTATGTGAAATATTAGGATTCCTCTCGTTGGTCAGTGTAATCAGTTATATAATGATATCAAAAATGTCCAGAGATTTGGTTGATCTAGTGTCATTCATAACTGATTTATATTAATTTAATGTCCTTTTTGTCATTACTGGATGCATAAAGAGGTTGACTTATGGTCTGTTAAATACAGTTTATTGTCTGTTCAGCACTGACAAACAGATGTGCAGCCTGGATTCGGCTCGCTACTCGCTGAGTGCAGCGGGAGACGGACCGGCGCGGGTGCAGGCGTCCGTCCAGCAGGAGGCCAACGCGGACACCTTCTGCATACACACAGCTAACTGTAATTTCAAATACAAATGTACAGAGACGTGCCTCAGGTTTTTAAGAAGGTGCTTAAGGGTGCTTCACCTGCTCCGAAGCATTTGTTTCTGTTAGAAAAGTAGTGCTGAATAAGAAGGGATGTTTAATAATATTCATAATTCACAAAATATGTTTGGAATAAAATAACTGCTATAGAATAATGGAATGAGATTCATTTCGTAATGTTTGTTGTAGTAAAATGCACAACATTTAGTATCACTTCTCTCTAGTTCTTTCTTGCGTCGGTCTGATTGCTTTGAAGCGTTTTCTGAAAGAGATATTTTTTTTTCTGTTGTAGATGAAGAGGGGTTGTCTTTCGGGAATGTCGAGGTTCCCACCAATGGCAACTTTGCCGGCCTTTTTCAGCGGTTTGTAGGGTTTTATTTCAGTTTGAATCCACCTCCACCTGACAAAGAAGAGTCACACACGGGGCCTGGATACATGGTGAGTCCGCGCTCATCTGGAAAGCCGCGGTTGTCACTGCAGCAGGACATATGATATATCAACCCCCTGTTTTGGTTTCTCAGTATGGTGACACCATCCAGACCGAAGACGAAACACGGAGGAGGTCTATATTCCGCCTGCCCGCCCCTGCGGGGACTGCCCACTGCTCTGACGCAAACCCGGCTGGTGGGTGAAAACGCCAGGTTCTGTGCTGTTTCACACTCAACATGTCTGTCCTGTGATTGCAGTGATTTGCTAGGTTTCTGCCTGAACCTTACACAGACTATTTAGATGAACCTCCAGGACATAAGCACATTTACCTTCCCTCTATGTCAGTGTTTCCCAACCCAGTCCTCAGGGAACCCTGGACAGTCCACGTTTTTGCTCCCTCCCAGCTCCCAGCCAATCAGGAACACCGAATACCTGGTACAGGCACACTGGGAGCTGAGAGGAAGCAAAAACATGGACTGTACGGGGTTCCCTGAGGACTGGGTTAGGATACAAGATACTTTCTATGTCACATACATGGTTATACAAGTATAATATGTAGTGAAATGTACCCTGAACTACCCCTTAGACTGTGCAAATCAAACCAAAAATAGAATTAAGAATAAGTCATAAGTTAAAAATCTTACAATAAACTGAAAGTTACAATAACTAAAATGTATACATAAGAGGAATAAAGAAGTACTAATATAGGGAATAAATTTATGGTGAAAAAACTGTGCATGTGCATGTGATGACAGAGCTTTATATTTAAAGTGCAGGTGACATAAGTATAAATATAAATATATATAAATGAGTCAGCAAAAGTGGATGGAAATGTAGTTACAGAAACACTGCAGTTACAGATTGTTAGAAACACTGCTCTATATAACATGCCCACATGCCCACTTAAGAACATTAAGGAACTATAAGGAATTATAAAGGTCAAGATTTTGCATTAGATTTCAACATTTTTATTTTCCGAGTATATCGCTGTCAGCAGTAGCGCTTTGCATACCCTGGGCGGGATGCCAGCCCATCAGAGGGTGCATATCCTCACACAGGGTCACACAGGGTCACACAGGGTCACCCCTTAATGGAAGTTTGGAGTCACCAGTTAGTCTATCGTCTGTCTGAGAGACCAGAGGACCCAGGACAGAGCCACACAAACATGGGGAGAAATGGCACAGAGAGGCCTTGGCCTAACCCTGATGTACTGATGATCTGCACGTCTCTGAAGCTCATCTCCTTTCCTGTGGTTCTGCCCCCAGCATTCCTCACAGACCAGTCCACCCAGTGCATCCGCAGCTTTGCCCTGGTGCGGGATTGCGCCACCCTGTCGGCCCTGAGCCTGCAGAGATACGCCGGCTTCTCCGTGCTCTCTGTGAGTTGGGCGTGTGTGGCCCCCCTTCCGCCGGGCCTTCAGCGCCCCCTTTAGGTGGCTCGTGAATATTTCACGCCCCTTTCCCCGGATGATGAATTCTGGCTCTGCCTTCTGTCCAGGTCCTGAATATAAATTTACTTTTTCTTTCTTTTTCAGATGAAAAATGATGGCAGCAATGTGAGTCTGCTGTGTGTGTTTTGTATATACATACATATGTATCATTTACAGTCAAAGAGGTCAGCATGAAAATCATACAATATATATTAATTTAAATTTTAAATCTTCTATACCACTTATATAGCCCAGTTTTGCAGCATTATTAACTATTAATCCTGCAATTAAAGTTACTGCACAATATGTATTGTTTTTGAAGCCACTTGAATTGATCTCAGTGACATAATGTGTGATGTTGCTCATCTGGGCCAGGCGGTCGCCATGGAGACATCCTCCATCAGCCTGCAGTCACTGGAAGGCACACGTACCCTCCTGGGGCCCAGTGACGGCTCTCTTTACAGCCCAGTTCTGCTGGAGCGGCCTGGCAGTGCCGAGACTGCAGTGTGTAACAATGTGGTTCTGCAGGTGGGATTTAGAGACACTTCACTGCATGTCATTGTTATTCCTCTTTCATACAGCTGGATCCCTCTGCCAAGCAATTTATTTATAAGGACTTTGCTTGACGGTTCTACAGCAGAATCTCAGGGTTATATAGCTTTATATGGTTGTTTGGCTGCATCAATAGTCACCGTGCTACCTCCAGTGCTGGATGGATGGGCTTACTGGGATACTTTAATGTTGCCACCTGCAGGTTCGTTACAGGGTCACCTACAGTGATGCAGGGACGATAGTGGGCTGCAGTGCCTCCTTTGTCCTGGGAGCCGTCAACAGCAGCATGCTGCCCATCCAACAGGACTTCCAGATTGTGTTTGTGCAGGTTCCGTATGGAAGTTACCTTTTCTGTTTTTATTCTTGATTATGTCTGGATCTGAGGTTGAGTTAACCGAATATGGAATTTAAGGTGGAATTATTTTGATACTGCAGTTTCATTTCATGCATTAATGAATATGTTTTTGCTTGTGTCTGCATACAGTATTAATACATCGAGAAATTCGATCGACCTTTTGTCTAACATCGCCTGCTGTGAAACTTTCCAGCTCATATTGGCAGAATAACGATACATATTTCATAATGACTTATAAACATGTCGCATGTTATATAAATAAAAGGCTGCGTGCCGTTTTGATTAAGTAACAATCAATTATCGTCCATTGTTTTGGAGTGGCGGTGTAGTTTTGTATGAAATGATGTGTGAAGTTTAATCCACAAACCCTTTTGCATCTCCTATGCTAATTTAGTATAGAGGTGCCAATTCTTGTTCCTATGAACTGAAAGTGACCAAGAGCTACAAAAGTTCCCGATCGAAACGGACAGGAACTATAGGTCACTGAACGTCAGCGAGAAAGCGCCTGTAATGATAACATTTAAAGTTTTCGGGGTAATTTGTGTTCCGCTGTCACTGCGGAAGAAATAATCATCTGCTTCGCGTGGTGATCGCATGAATCGCCACCGCACCATCCGGACGGAAAACGAGAACGTCTAACGGAACCTCTGGTCTTCAGCTGAGAAACGCAAAAAAATAGACAGTGTCTTTTTATGCTCTGACAGGACAGTGCAGCAGAAATACCTTTCCCTTCAAGTGGAAATCCTGGCTATGTAGTTGGACTCCCTCTTGTGGCTGGATCAAGGATTGCTGAATATCCTTTTTCCCCAAACATTGGTCATGTTTTGCTTTGTATTGCAATTAATTTATTGCTGATTAGGGTGCACGTACAGTGTTGCCTGTGTTCCCCGTTAAACCATGGTTAAGCATATCTCATATATTCAAGCCATACCATTGACTTTGCACTTCTGACATTCTCATAAGGACCAGTATGGCATTTTTAAGAATGAATAATGATGTCAAACCAGAAGAGTTGTCTTTAACACCTCTCCTTGCACTGGCATTGTCCAGAGTACCAACAAGAAGGGCAGTCTGACCCTCCTTAAGAGCTCTGCCTCTCAGGACTGCTTGGCAGAGTCCCTGCCTCGATCCCCCGTCCTCTTCGGGGTCAACATGGTGTCCGGCTGTACACTGAGGTGAGACGTTGCCAGCGGCTCAGAGCTGGATAACAATAATAATAATAATGACATATGATCTCATAAGACAAGTACATACTTCACTGAGGGACATTACAGCTTCTGTACATAAAGACTTACGATAAAGTTTCTTTGCGACATTTATGAGACTACACTGACTAACCAAATCTTCATGCGCAGAACCACTTAATGAGAATTTAATTTAGTATATATAGTATAATTTAGTATTATGATTTCATTACGGCTATGCAACTGCTTGGAGTATCAGTAATACAGACGATGCGGCGTTGATATACCGTCAAATATCTCCTTTATTACTGTCACATCGCAATGACATATTCTTGTATTCGAGTACTTTCCTACATATTGGGAATTTTCTTGTGCGTTATCTTGTGACAATATACCTGTGTGTTTGCTTGTAATAATAATAACAATCACAACAACCTAATTTCGTTGTACCCATTACAATGACAATAAAGATATTCTGATTCTGAACAATAAATAGTAATTGCCCCCACACTTAGATGGCTAGTTATCCTGTCCTAGCTGTGCCCCACTGACATGCCAGCTAGGGGGGTGAGGACCTGGACGCCTCCTCTGATGCACACTCTGTGTCCCTGATAGTGATATAAACATATTTATTTAATGTATTCATCTTATATAGTAGTAGGCCTTTTTTTTTTTTGTTGCAACGGCTGCCTGCCAGTGACCACAGGCTCATGTCTTTTGTGCAATTTCACTTTGACTTCCTATTTTTAAATGATTCTCACTGCCTTTACACCCATCATCTGCTTCTGACTCATATTCAGAAAGTTGCCGATAGCTTTGAAGGGCTTAGCGATCGATAGTTAAGAATTGTATCCAGGTTATGCTTATTTGATTGGCATTTCCAAATATTGTCATTTCATTTATGTAATACATTTATTATTTTGAGAGACTGTCATAGTGATGTTTAGATTGTCCCCAGAACCACACAGCTATAATTCCATAAATGATCTCTGTCCGCATGCATTAGAGAGGGATATTTTTGACTTTGAAACCCCATATTGGTCCGTCCCTGGTTTTGTTTTTTGTCTTATTTGTTACCTTGTCTTAACATGTATTTCCTGAGTATATTGTCTGTTTGTTTTTTTATGGGTTAGTAAATATAAATCTCTGAATGACGCATTTCTCCGTAGACTGGAGGATGCTGGGAACTGTTCCGTGGTTTCTGAGGTGCTTCTCAAGGTTCTGCGAGGTCAGGAGGTTCCACAGTATGTGGCATCGTTCGGGAACTCGCAGCCTCAGATGGTCATGGACTGGGTGCCAATCAAAACACAAACCACGCCCACAGTAAGGAAATCACTCTGGGTTTTACTACCTCAGCCTGAAAGCGGATGTTTGTGCCGTTTTGATGGATTGATGGCATTTCTTCCAGTTTTAATGTTCTGCATTGAACTTTGTGTTTGTACATGTTGACGTCTGAAATCTTACTTAAGTGGTTGGGTGTCAGATGCAAGTTCCTGTCTTATGCAAAATCATGAGTCAAAACCTTAAGACACATTGTGTAAAAATAATTCTAAGCAGTACAGCAGGTGCTGTTTAACATACATTTAGAATTGGTTGTTAGGATGCCACGCAGGCATCCAAATTGAAGAGCTTGACTTCTGTCTTTCACATTTACTGATCTCTGAATTTAAAAATGTGTCTGTTAAATTAAGAGCCCTGTCTGACCGCTTGTTATCCTTCCCCCTTCTGCTGGCACAGCTCACGCAGGGTTGCACCATTCCTCTTTCTCGTGACATCGAGGTGAGCTGGACCAAGTATGGATCCCTGGTGAACCCCCAGGCTCAGATCGTGAATGTCACAGAGGTCATCCGAAGCAGCAGCAGCAGCAGCCTGGTATCTCCAGCCTCCTCAGGGTTCCCTCGTTATACAGTATATTTGTCCTGCTCGTATAAAGGGTATTTAGGTTCACTATAAAATGCTCTACGGTTGTTTTCCAGATAGACTTCAGGGTGAAATCCTCAAGTAAAAACCCATAAATACTTAATACTAAAACTGAATGGAAAATGATTGAACGTATCACAAATATGCACAGAAATGTTATGCTGTATTCAAGAACATCTAACATTCAGAGTATTTGAATCCTGATTGCAGAATGCTTTGGCAATTTTCATATCTTAAAAAAGGTTCAAACCAGTGAGAAAGGGTGAGCTAAGTTGCTGGTTTTGACGACTGCTCTTGATCCCTCATTCTTACTTCCGCAGCAATCTCTCACAGGCGGAAACAGGATTGTCTCCATCTCCACCTCAGTCACCTTCGTGGACGTGTCCGCACCCCCCCAGCCAGGCTACAGGGCCCCTCCCAGCATCGATGCCAAGCTGCCCTTTGATTTCTTCTTCCCCTTTGTTTGAGGGACGGGAAGGCTCTAGCCAGGAGGAGAATTAGTAGCTAAACGCAGATGATGTCCTCCACCATCTTCTTGCATGTGACAGTTGAATGTCAGTGGTTGTGTGCATTTCTTAAGCAGACAGCTTTTTCCCAAAAGGGCTACTGATTCACTAAAGGCAAGCTTTTGAAAGCATCTGCTGGTTTTGTGCACTGACCCGCGGCTTCTATAAACCAGCCATGCGAGACAACCATCAGGCGTTACGGCTGGTTACACAGCACCGATTTCAGTGGTGAACCGTCATGGTCCACTGTCACCCCCGTTGCATTCTGGGTATTTTAATTTCATTTAGTAAAATTTAAAATAACCAGGATGATAAAATTCACCATTGATAAGGCAAACTGTTCTAAATATCCCCCAGTATTGAGGATTCTCCAAATGTCTGCCAGAAATTCCAGCCTCCTGGGTGAACGCAGGAGGTCTGAGCTGTATTTACAGCTAAATGTTATAAGTCCTCATAGCAACTGTAACTATCTCTGGTTAAAGATTTGCTGGTTTGTGGTTCTTAAACTTGTTTGCGCTACTGAGGTTCATGTGTGAGATTTCTGCTTTTAACTGAACAGGAAGCCATATATCTAGAGGGACAGTGTTTCTCTACATAAATAACAGGTTAATAAAGAGCTCTCCTCTCCTCTCAAAATAATACAATGGACATGTTCAGTTTTATATATTTCTGTTTTCATTGACTTATGCACACATAACTTTGACCATAAAAATATAAAAAGCTGGAAATCTTTGTTCCCCCCTACAGAATGTGACTGACAAAAGCTTAGATGTATTAAGAAATTAGGTATGGACTGTTAAACAGTCTATCATCAGCAGATATCCATGTTTAACCAGGGACACATTTTCCTTACACATAATACCATGCATATTGCATTTTAGTAAAAAATGTACTGAATATACAGGCATTGCATTCATGATGCAGTCTGCAATGTTAATATCTGAAAATCCCATCTGGTGAATCGATCCCAGATTTGTTTTATGCTGGAAAAATTTCTTCCACAACTGAGGAAAATCCACCATTTCCTCACACCCAATCAAAATGCAATCCCATTGTTTCGCAGAAGTGTGCGTAGTCTGTCGTTTTCTTGTTCCTGCAAGGAGACGGGAAGGTCAGTTAAACAGAGGCAAATTGATATCTTTCAGTTAGTCTGAAGAATGAAGATAAGCTGTGAAATGAGCCAGACTAACCAGCCTGGAGTTGTGTTCCTGCAGGTCATTAACTTGCTGGACAAGGTGATTATTGCTCTCTGTGAGCACCTCAACTTTGTGGTAGGCACGGTTCTGCACGGATACTATGATGCCTGGAGAACAGATTAAATGAAGAAATGGAGCAAAGATGCCACACAGCTGAACCTCACTACTAGAACTCTACTATAGGCGCAGGGCTGACCATTGATGATCCTGGCCACCCTCCATAGCCGGAGCAAGATGAGGAAGCCAACGCCATCAAACGCATCCTCATGGGCAATGTAGACGATATCCAACACGAAGGACACGATGACCACCACCCCGTCAAACACCTCAAACTTGTGGTGGAAGAACTCGCATCGGTAGGCATAGATCTTTCCTGCCAGCTCCACCATAAAGAAGGTGAGTAGAGCCAGACTCAGGTAATGGAACACCTGTGTGGGCCAGAAGATGGTGCAGAAGCTTAGATCTAACCCCATGAGGCATTATAATACATTATAGTGCATTACACTGGGGGGGGGCGGGGGGTTACCATTATGTGAATCACTCTATAAATTTGCACAGCACAGGTGTTGCTTGGAAACGGAAGACAAAACGTCTGATAAGAGTTTGGTTTTCTTTGTGTTAATAGTTCTCTGCTTGCAATATAATTTCCTGTACATTTCAAGTGAAATTCTCAATTTAAAACTTTCCTCATTGTCCGTTTCATACAAGCATCACTGCACATTGTGTAGTGTGTTTATTACAGAAGGATCGACCTAGTTGTGTTGAATTCAATTCTATTACGTAAGGATTTTGAGTGACACAATTAAACTTTACACTATATGTATATTCACAGTTTATTTGCATGGTGGAAGTCACTCATCTAAAAGGCAGAAGTGTATGCTTAGCCTCAGGACCTAGAGAGAGACCACAGCACACAGATGTTTACAGTGAGAACTGATCACCAGCTGGCAGAGAACTGGGTTACAGGGAGAGAGCAGGACCCCAACTCAACATGTCAGACGAGTTACAGCCTGTAAACTCTGGCAAAACAGACTTACAGTACGTTGCACCCTTCTGTAAAGCCTTTAAAATGTTCAAATAGAAATAAAATTGTTCCTACGTTAAACTTTAACATGCCTATGCATTCAGAAATCAGGATTAAAATGTACATAAAAGACACTCCTTTAGTTTTTCTGTGACAAAATCTTTATTGGCCAGTGTATTCATTTGAATAATATGTTAACAGAACAGAATGCCTTTGTCTATAGGTAGCAAGTACAAAGAAATCCGGTCCCATCTTCTTTTTCTATAAGACATATACGCATATAGAAGGGCAAGTCATAAAGAAGTGGTCAGCCTTTTCCCAATGCCTCTGGAGCGGATTTATGGGTTAAGGGCCGTGTTTAAGGGCCCAGTGGTGATATAATCATTCTGCCGGCCACATGATGCAAATCGGTGACATTCTGGACACAGCACAGACTCCTAACCCACTGAGCCACACTAATATGAAGCGAAGCTCGTATAAACCTTACCTGGGGAGCGACCCTTTCGTGGTCCGACTTGATGATGGACAGGTCCATCAGCAACTCAATCAGGACAAAGGTGGCATCCAGGATGACGAGACAGACCACCGTGATCTGGCAAGAGACAACAGTGGAAGCGTGCAACAGCAGCGTGACAGGGACGAGGAACACAGGCCGTGCGGCAGCATCGCGTACTCTCATTGGCCGACAAATTAACACCTGCTTCCCGCGAGTCTGTTTAAGGGTCCGTTTGGGTTACACTAGGTGGTGACGCTGGCAGGACAAATGACTGAGACAGACAGACAGATCCTCCTTTCAGCTACAGTAAGGGCAGGATACCTATCCAGTGATGTACAGCGATGACATTCTGGGCTGGATTTTTCTTCACCGTTTACCTTTAGCGTTTATTATAACGTTTGTTGTTATATTATGAGCAGAAGTGCACAAACTGATTACCTGAAACCGCTCTGAGCTGAAGAGCCTGCGGCACGACTCTTGGAAAGTAACAGGTGCGGTGGCGTCCCCCGCGGCCCGTTCCTGTGCCCCCCTGACTTCATGCAGTTCCTCCGCATGCCACTTGGTGATGCTCTTCTTGTCATCGCCTACTGCAGTAAAGTGCCTCAGGTAGTGAGCCATGTTGGATGTCACCAGGGGTCCCAGCAGTAACACAGCTCCGCAATTAATCGAAGAGGCTCACACTGCAGAAAGGGGAGGGGAAAAAAAAAAAAGAAATCGCAACATTGGACTAAACGTTCTGAGCCTCAGGACTGTGACCCTAAGTAGCAGCATCCAGATGTGGATGCTCAATAAACCAGCAAAACTCCAGCTCACAGAACCAATCACTCTCTCATCACACCTGCAAGAAGTGGCGTTCACCATCACAGCCGACTCATTCTAGATGCATGTGAATTGCATATTCATTGTGTATTGTTCAGTACATCGTCTTTGGTTCAGCATATCCTTTTTGGTTCAGTATGCACGATGAAACAAATGAACGCATTTACTGACACACGCACAGATGTAAAGGAGTATTTTGTCTGGATTTGTGTTTGAGTATTTTAAGTTATTACAAGTTTTGTTTTCACTTTACTATATTTCTGAGCCAACGGCTAAGCAATATAGGGTATTTCTCTCTGTATTATCTAATGATATTATTATTATTATTATTATTATTATTTTATTATTATTATTATTATTGTTGTTAAGAAGAATTTGCTTTACAACAATGTAGTTTCACGATATACCGATTCACTTGCTAATATTTAGACTTTATGAATATTCAAAAGTTAACAGCATCAAAGCTAATTAACACCACTAGCGAAATAATGGTGGTGACTGCGTTGAACTACCAGGCATTTTAGCTGAGGACTAGGGGCTATGCCGGCTCATGCTTACATGTGACCTACCCGAATATAAATAATAAAATGTCACTAGGCTAACCTGCCCCGGCAAGTTCGACAAGTTTCGCCGCTTTTCCTGAATAAAAAGAAAACTCTCGCCACATATGATTTCCTTATTATGATGTACTGTAATTTACAATAATGCTATGTTAAAACCTGTCTTGCCTGAATTTAAAATGACAGATTGCTTTTCGTAAGACCAAATGATTCGAATAAGTAGTAGGGCGACTTTTGGCATTTGACACAAATACTTTTAAACCAGGTATTTTTTGCTTTTACTTTTAGTCATTTACTGGATGACTTGATAAACATTGTAGTATGACATCTGTACTTTTACTTAAATATGAAAACCAGGGCAAAATGTAAATAATATGACTATGGGGACCCGTGATTTAAACACGGTGTGTGGAATTCACAAAAACAAGCCAAGGCAAAAATGCATTGTCAAATCTTATCTGGTTTTCCCCATCGTGAGAGCTTACATGTTGGGTCAATCGTGTACAATACCTACGGCTTTTGTTCCTCTTTTTATAAAAAGTAACTAATGGTATAATTAATGGTAATGGTAATCCATTAGATGAACTGGGTCATCTTTTAAAATCAGACTCCACGTAATAGCCCTACCTTAAATATAAAAAACATAATTTTTCAAATTAACGCTTCACTTTTATGTATGAATACTCTTAAACATAATGTATATATATATGACAGCAATCAAAATTAGCTGCACAAAACAAGGGGAATTTGGCTTTTGTACCAAGTGGATAACTCGTGATTTCCTGTTCTGCGGGGGAAAAATTGTTCGTTTTTTAAAATTTTCCTGAATTTCACTTAGGCTACAGTTATTAAATGGAAGCCTGTACTACACATATATGGATAAGCATAGATAATGCCTAAATCAGCTGTCTAGAAACGCGATTTTGTAGCTTTAAAAACACGATTTAAACTCTAATTGCTGCATTGTAATTCACACGTTGAGAATATAAAACTTATAAACATTGCAGATCGAAGACAAAAGTACGTATATCCTACCTGTAGAGAGTCGACGTTACCGCCTTGTTGATTGAAGCTTTTCCTCCGTTTTTCCTTGTAGCTTTGACCCTAAAACCCCGCCTATGCCGCCGATCCTGTTCTTCCCGAGCAGGAAAAGCTTTTCTCTCTGTCTGCCGTATCCGCTGGAGATACCGCCTGTAAAACCGCAATCAGACGTGTGCAGTTCCCTAAACCCACTACCGTTTTCATGTTTTAAGACGGTATCGGCGCTTCTGACTAAAGGTATAGGAGACGTGAGACGATTTCGCGATCTCTCTCCTTAGCACATGCGAAGCTACACATCGGCGTCATGCTTAAACATTTTACGATGCATTGCACGGAGAATTCTACGATATTCCGAAGTCTCTGAAGATTGTTTCTTGCTAATAATTTCACAATTAGGTTCCCTTTCTGGCTACTAGATGGCAGTCTTTAACCAGGGTAGTAAACGATCACGAAGAAGCGTCATGTTCACGTGAGTTTCCCCAAGGCTTTAAGTGGCTCATTCCTTAATCTTCGATGGTTTATTTCTTGAGTGAAATTAAATTTGCAAAGGAAGGGTCCCTTAGAGAGGCATATTTCCCTCGTATAATCAGTGTATTCCCATTACTTAATTGACCCTTGCACTATGCAGTATGTCCGCATTAATGTATTGCTTTACTTTGAACGGTGCTCCATTTTGCAAAGATGGAAAACATACAGAAACTCTTTTAACTCAGACCCTATAAAGGCGAATGTCTTTCACTTCCTGATGTTTTAAGGTGACCATTTCCCTGTATGTCCCCCCCCCCCGATTTCGTGTTACCAATAAACAGACAGAGGACTTGGACGTTTGTGATGCCCCCTAAACTCAAAAACGTTTATTAAAGAAGTGTACAATAGAGTAAACTTTTTAAACGTTATTGCCGAGATGAAACAAAAGATCTTATATACAGCACGTTTCAAATGGGACATCATATAACGTTTAAATGAAACTTAAGGTTTAAAATTACCGAACTTGAGTTGCAAAATGACAAGTACCTGAAGTGCTACATTTAGCTTAAGGCATGCTAAGGTTTGCGTGCCTCATTATAGAAAATGCCATGTAATGAGATTGTAACTCTAAATGCATGCAACAAAAGATCCACCATCGCTCCTCATGCCAGTCATTTCCGCGCACATTGTACATTCCCGCACAGGATTCAGCATTCAAAACACATCAAAGCCAGCTCATCAGAACAAGCTCCTTACATCTACGTGTTCCTTACATAGTCAAAAGTGTATAACGTTAAAAGCCGTGAAAATGTTGGTATGATTTACAAAAATCAGAACTTAAACAGGGTGGGGAAAAAAATTATAGTAACTGCTTTATTCAAAGAAGTTCAGATACCTGACAGTTTTGGGAGAAAAGAGGGGAAAAGCAAACTGTCTAAATTTATAATCTGAGAAGGCTGTTCACATGTGGTAACTGCAAGGGTTTTTCACAGTGGTTTGAGAAGCTAGCTGGGTAGGGGGCGTCTATCACTGAACATGAAAAGTAATCGTGTTTTCTTCCATAAGAAAGAAGTGATGCGACCGTTTAAATTCAGTTCGGTGACGGGTGGGAGGCATCAGCTCTGCCCCACAATGGTCCTCTCTCCTCCTGGGGTACACCTGCTGAAATGTGGCAGACAAATTCACAGACCTGAACTTTATTTTGTTTTTAATTTAGTTTGTTTTTCAAGGTAAAACAGCCATTTAGTCAGAGTAAAAAAAAAACAAAACAATAAAAGTTTTGCCCATTATCTTGGAATACTGGTCTTTGCTGGTCGCTGCAACGAGAGGAGAAAAAAATACAAAAAAAAGGCAGCTGACAGTTTGTGTGACCATGAAACCGGAGAATTCCAAGCAGACAAAGACCGGACGATACGAGTCCAGCGCAGCATCTGCCCTGCCCTGCCCCCCCCCCCAAAATTTTCCCAGCCTCCGCCCCCTTATTTCTTGGCTTGCTTTGTGACCATATTCCGAGGCGGCGTCACTGGTCGGCTGGAATTGGGTTTCTTCTTTTCAGCTGGTTTTAAGATCTGGAGGAAAGAAAACAGTAGAGATTAAATAAAGTAAAAATCAGAAAAATGTTGATGAGAATCAGTCTGCCACAAAACAACCATCTGAACAAGTCCAAGCCTGCCTAAAGGGCCGCGAGGAAGAGCACAGATCCCTAGGGCTGAAAACTTCTGAGTACGGAGTGCCGTTTTGACAGGACCTGGAAGGAGCACATGAGGGTCTCATCCACGCTCATCATGGCTCCGGCGTTGTCGAACTCGCCACAGTAGTTGGGGGCTGAGAACAGGGTCACCAGCTGCCTTTTGGCAAAGAATTCATAGCCATCTTCCACCACCTGCACCGCAGAGTCAGCCGGAGCGGGACGTGAAGGAGAAATAGAGAAGAAGGATTTGGCACAGGAAGGGCAAGGCACTGTGGTGTCTCTGCAGAGCTGAGCTTTTCTAAGTGCAGCTCCCCCTACTGGACTCTTTGTATGAAATGAGTAACATCTGATGTGATGTCAGATCTGCTATTCTAGACAAAGGAAGGGTGGGAATTGGGACCAAGTTTGATTAAAATCTGGAGACACATCTACAACCAAACAAATTAACATGTCAGCCATGGGAGCAATTTTTATTAGCTCTAATAACTTCCTGTAAAACTTTATGGTTGCAAAAATGATCTGTGCTGTGACAGCGGCTCCTTGGGGGGGGACGCCAGTGCTGCTCTTCGCCCATCAGCTCTCACCTGGTGGGCCCGGCAGATGAGGTCTAGGTCATGCTTGTGCAGGAACTTGGCCACCACTTCAGCCCCGAAGGTAAAGGAGACGCCGCGGTCATTCTCGCCCCAGCCCAGCACATCTTTGTCTGGGTCGGACCATAGCAGATCGCACAGCAGGCCCTGGTCAGGAACGTCTGTGGGCCTCATGATGCGACGAATCTGCTCCATGGACTGGAGGTCTGGTGACAAGCCTAAGGAATGAGGAGGGGTCACCCAGTGAGTGTTAGCCAACCCCTGTCCAAGACTCCAAGTGCTTCACATTCAAGGTACAAGTCATGTTTTAAACAAGCACCAGCTGGCTCCTGGTGTTTAGGAAAGGTCACTTTAGGGACAAAAGCATCATCCTGTCACAGGAATTTCACCCATTAGCTGGCAAAGCAGGTTTCTCACCCGTGAACAGGCTTACAGATTCTGACAAATCTCACAGCCAGAATGACTTGCAAGTCAAATACATTTGCTCTGAGACCTACCTCCATGGCAGCAGAAAATCTTCTCGTCCACGATGGCTGCGATGGGGAGGCAGTTGAAGCAATCTGTAAATGTCTTCCACAGCTTGATGTTGTAGCGCCTTTTGCCTAAGGGGGAAAAAACATTCCAGTTATCCAGCACTTGAAAACCAAGTAAGTTTAGCAGTATGTCAAGTCTGATTGTTGAAAGGTGGAAACTACCGTATTTTTCGGACCATAAGACGCACCTTTTCCTCCCCCAAAAGAGGGGAGAAAAAGTCAC